TTCTCTTTTCTTTTGTTTTAGTTTTCTATTAAAAAAAAAAAAAGTCAAAATTGGAAGAAACAAATATGGGCGTGTAGGGTTTTTCAAACACCACACGCTCATTTTCTTTTTTTCATCCATTCAAAAAAGTAAGGAAAAAAAAAAAAAAAAAAACTGACGCCAATTTTTTTTTTTTTTGTTCAACGACATAAAGTGCCATTGGGTGCAGTTTCTAATGACATCCGGATAAAACTTTCTGGTGGCTGTATATATATAAGGGGCCTGAAGTTCATTGTGTGCGCCTAGCGTCCGAAGTTCCCGTTCGACAAGGTTCGTCCGATTCCGCTTCCACCAGGGTTGGGCAATCTATCAGCCCTGGTCCCTATCACTGTTGTTCGGTCCAAGTTGCCTGCCCGTTGGTAGGGCAATGGTCCTGAGTGCTGGTCACACTGAGGTAGAATAGTGGGATAGGGGGTGCACTAAGAGTATTGAGTTGAGGATGGGTTGAGAGGTCATCTCATATTCCAGGACACCCACGGATCACGGTTGCAAGTGATCACTGTGCACACACTAACTGACCTCTACAACACCCTGGAGCATGGTCTCACTAGCAACGAGATAGGATAGAAAAGAGTTTGTGTGGCAGTTGAGTGACCCAAATACTGCCGTGCAGTACACGTGATCCCACGGTCAGTATTTTACATTTATTACCCGAAAAAGTAAGGAGATCTTGGTTCCCCTCCTTCTCTTCTTAACACTAGGCTTTGTGCAAAGGAAGCTTCCCGCCAAAATCTTTTCAATCCGTTGGGGGTATGGCCAACCCCAAAAGAGAGTGGGGTCGTCCATAGACCCACTAGATAGAAGATTTTCAGTACTTTGCTTGCTGTTGTGCAATTATCTCATTCGGCGGAGCCCTCCTTCAATCATGAAGTGTATGGAGGGCGTTAGGATCATTGCTGACATAAGTTGATTTTATTCCAGAAAATGTGGCAATTACTTAATTCACTGTTGTTGCAACCACCAACATCAGATCATTTGTGATCTGATGGCTGGGAAGCACTCTGCTGTAATTTCAGGTGGGAGGTCTCTGGTTTTTTTTTTTTTTTGCCACCCTCCTGTTTTCTCATCCCAGAAATTCGTAATAAACCTGTCAGCCCGCTGCCACTCAGTGTCACACTGGATCGGCCACATTCCTGTTCGACCGCTAATGGGACCATGCTCCTGGACTTTGTGGTTAGAGGTGGAAAAAAAAATAAAATAATAATCGACGGGATTCAACGGGATTCAACGGGGATTCAGCGGGATCCAACGGGATTCAACGGGACTCAATGGGGATTCAACGGGGATTCAAGGGGATTCAATAGGATGAAATTTTGTTTTTGCTCCATGCGCGTCCAGCGACATGTCCGAGGCCCAATGCGTCCTTCCCGTTGAACAATATTCAACGGGTCGAGTCCATTGTACTCTTCAACGGGGATTCAACGGGGCCCCGAGGGCTATTCAACGGGCACAACAGCGTTGAAACTTTTTCGTTGTACGTTGAATAGACACATAGCATTAACGAGCGTCTAATGAGACCATGGGGGCATATTTCGTCGGTCCGGCAGGTACAACGACCACGATTGAGTCCCGATCTGCTCTGTTTCGCTGCTTTCTTCAGCACGGCTGCCATCCACGTGGCAGTGAAATTTGGATTTGCACGGACCAGCGATCGAACGCGGGTGTTGGCCGAGGTGTCGTCTTTTCTGGGGCTGTCTCCACCAGGCGTCAACCACGTAACAGTGATCGTCGCCTTCACCGGCGACGTTACGGTGTTGCATCTGTCCGTTCATCCAGGCGCCCTTCTGCAGCTGTGACTCTGGGCGGGGGACCTCACGAATGCTTGGATCTAGTTGTTAGCTCGGTCAGGCGACCAGATCGATTCCACCAACGACATCGACCTCGGGCAGCTCCGACTCTCTCTCTCTCTACGTCGGAGGTCATCATCCCGAAGGTTCTTCCCCTCATGCCACCTCAATGAAGTGGCACCACCTCTCGACCTTCGGGATTCCCTTTGATCTCCCTACCTTTTGGCAGTCCGCTACGGACGCCCCTCTCTCTTTTCGGATCAGGCAATTAGACGTGCCGATCCTTAACGCCGACAAGTGGGCGGAGTGGTGGAATGTGTACGTCGTGCTAAACTTCTTTCTTCTTGAAGTGGTGTTCCATTGGGCAGAGCCGGCCGATAAGGACGAGGAAGACGAAGTCCCCGATGATGATGTGGAGTTGTTGATAATCCAGGCGTTGAGAACGGACACGTAAGGGGAGCTGTTGGGGATTCTGTTCGGAAAGGTGAGGGACGACCACCTGGAGCCAATCACGAGCGAAGTTCTGGTGTTCCTGGCGCAGCTCCTGGACGATCTGCCTCTAGATATCATTTCGCGCTGTGATGAGCGGCCCACACCGGCGACACTCACCCATACGTTCCTACCATATCTGTTGTGGTCCACGTGTACGGAGCTCGACAGAGACAACTCCTACTACCCCTCCTCGGACCACTATCTGGACATTGACATGACCGATCTCACCTTGTGCAATCTGATTACTCAAAGGGTGGATGTAGAAGAAAAGGTAGACGAAGAGGAGGGAGAAAGAGAGGAGGGGAGCGAAGAAGAAGAAGAAAACTAGGGGGTGGAATCAGACGACCCCGATTACCATGAATCTGAGGAGGGACTCGGAGGGCTGGAAGAAAGCGAATCGAGCGGATCAGATAACTCCAGCGAACGAAGTGAGGAGGAAGACGAAGCCGCAGTCCAGAAAAGGCGGGTAAGTGAAGAAGCAAAGCGGTCGGTAGAAGAATCAGACGGACCAGCCGCGCGGCTACTACAAGGCGATGTGACGCGCAATCAAGAGTCACCATAGTAGGAGCCTGGAGAAGATGGTGACACCACCGCGGAGGGATCCAGAAGAAGACGTTGTAGAAGAAGTGCTTTGCCCGCTCAATCCTCTCCACCACCACGGCCCACTGTTAGCATATGTGGAGATGGGGGCGCTCAGGCTTTGTCCCCGATTGTTGTCCAGCCATCCCCTTGATTACCTCACCCTTCATCAGCTTGCGGGCCGCCCTTCTTTCCCTTCTAACCGGCATCCTTTCCCACCTTTCCTCTTCCACCAACTCTATTTTTCCCGCCTAATCGCCACCGTTTTCCCGCACGCCACCACTCATTTTCTCGTAACTTCTTTTCCCCTCCATATTCTTCTCTTTAGCGCGGCATGGCAAGAATATAATAATATAGAGGTTTATTGCATAATCGCGGGTACTATCCCCGCATGAGAAGAGCATGAGAATTTCTGCGCCGCGATTCCCCGCACCCTCTCCACCCTCTATCGTGATTATCTCACCTCGCTCCCTCATCAAGATCATCGTTTCCCTCGCATCCATCATGCCATCCACTACACCCGACTCCCAGCTGAAGATCGACAGCTCCATCGCTTTCTGCCATCCCTCCCGCAAGTTCATCCTCCTCCTCCCCCACCTGTCATAAGGTTACCCTTCCCCGACAATCTCTAGGATCGAAGTTCGCGGTGCCAACTGGATGACTTTCACACTCTCATCTTACTGTAAGTGGCACGTGTCGACTCCACATCGATCGTTGGTGCTCCTCACAAGATCGACGGATGATGGAGAGAGCAAGCAGGAGCTTGCTCAACATTGGAAACCCGTGGGCGTCACATATGTGACGAACTGTTTTCTGCAACCACGCAATTTTCTGCGCAAGGCTACTTCAGGGGTTGAATCGGGAGGGTCTGCGGGATTACATGGGTGCCCTTGCTTTTCTTGTTTTTTTCAGAATCGAGGCCGGGGTAATTTTGTGACGATTGGTAGATGGTTGCGCCTTAGCGAGCGCGAAAGATAACTGCTGTCATAGCTTATTTCTTGTTCTTCTGTTGGAAATGGGAATTTCGGCATGATTGTCGTGCGACAAAATCTTTTTGAATTTTCCACTGATGTTGAGCCCCCGTGGGCTCTCGGAATTTGTTTCGTTCAAAATTTCTTTTCACAATTAGGATTTAGATTAGGAATTTAGGCGCGTCACATTTTCTGTTGCATAGCGCTTCTTGCTTGCGCACGCTTTGCCGTGAAAGAATCTTTGTTCTGACTTTTCGGCACCTTAATCTTCGCGTGTAACTGTAACTTTTGTTTTGGCGGGCATAATTGCAACTGTAATCCTCCTGTTCTTGATATCTTTTGTGGCGTCCCTGTGCGCGCGTACTCTATTGACCTGAACTCTTGCATGACTGGATCGATGTGTGGAGTGAGGCTACGTCCCCCACGTCGCGGCTTGGCCATGCAGACGTAGGCACTTCCTCCTCCTCCTTGTTTTCCAACTTAGGCACAACCCCAGGTATCTCGCGCAAGCATGCATGTTATACATGTCGCAAGCATGATTAACTCGCTCTCTAAGAATTCTGGAGTTAGGGAGGTCGAGAGGATCGGCTAACGAGTGAGATTTGGAAGGTGACTAGAGAGCTGGGCGATCCGACGGGCTGGTGCTGGGCCTGCGGGGTTGACGTGAGGCCGCAACGGACTGTGGCACACGGGCGAACCTGGGTGGCATGTTCGGACTAAGCGGGGTGACAACTTTGTGTGGGTGCGCGACGACGGACCGCCTGCATCGGGATGTAGAGAGAGAGAGAGAGAGAGAGAGAGAGAGAGAGAGAGAGAGAGAGAGAGAGAGAGAGAGAGAGAGAGACGGGATGTGTTGTGGTAATGTTTCTCTTCCATCCTTCTAAGTAATTTTGGTATCGGCGTCAGTCGGGCTTGTCCTTTTTTTGGATTGGCATCCCGGATTTTTCGCTTCTTTATTTATTTCTTTCCTCAAAGAATGATGTGTGGAATGTCGTCTCCCACAGGGCCACTCCCCTTCTCTGTCTTTTTGGAATCGACAAATTTGATTGCGTGGTTATCGACGATCGAATCCTGTGTGATCTCGGGACTGATCGGCCAAAGAGTTGTTGCAAGAGTTGTTGCATGATCTTCGATTCCTTTCTGTTTGCTTGAAAGCATGGATGATAGGCATTATTATGTCTGTGTACGAATTGGATAAGCATGCTAGATGATTAGATGAATGTCTTGCTACAGGATGACCCATCTCGCGAACCACTGGCTTTCACCCATCTGATCGAAGGACAGGTCCTACGCACGCATGTGTAGGCTCAACCAAAAACGATCGCTGCCTATACGCGCGTCTACGGAACCTGAACTCGACTAAATTCCCGAATGGCTGGATTTCCACCCCGACGTGCAGCATGAATTTCGGTGTTCCTTTTCGTGTCACTGACTGCGAGTGTTTGAGGGATCGGGAAATTCGGGAGTATTGGGAGCACGCTCGCGTGTCTGCCCGATCTTGGGAGGAACTTCCAGAATTTCCCTACTTGACAGGGAATGAACGTATTTGCGAGTGGGATCTCGACCAGGCCTTGGGACGTAACCCCCATCTCCCCAGCTTCTCTAGCCCATACACGAGTCACGTCCTCACAGAGCCTGGAATCATTATCTTAGGGACCGACTCCCTATCACCGCATCCTACCCTATCACTCCCTAACCATCTTCCCCTGGCTCGCAATCGCTCCTTTTTTGCCCCCAATCCCCGTGCTCAGAGTGTCTGCAGGACCACGAGTACCAAGCCTCTGGCTTCATCCAGCGAACTCGCTCGGAGGAAGAACGGCTGCTGCACAACCTGCGGTTAAGGCCACCCTCGTCCGACTCGGAGACTTGCGACGTTCGATGTCGGCAGGTGACGAATCAGCGGGATAGCCATAGCGTCCCGACAGTGCACCAGATACAACCCCGACCCGAACGACGGAACCCACGGAGGCGGTAACTCCGCTCCCCGAAGCAGAACAAAACTCCAGTCTACACCCGCCCTCCTGCATTCGTATTCCGGAGCCTGCCACAGGAGATCTCAGTTCCGACCTGGGACTCCACCCCCACTTTCCTACAATCCTTGGCACACCCCCTTTTCGCACTTCCAGGCCCACTCACACCCCGATCAGGAAGTCGCGCCGGGCGTGAGGTTAGGGCGTCACAGGAGCAGTTGCGCGCGCGTAGAAGAAGGGCACTGATGCAGGCTGCAAATGACGGCCCAAACTACGTGACAACTTCGGAGGCTGTCATTGAGGTGTGCTACATGTTGGGTTTCGGCGTCATTCCAGGAGCGACACCGAGGTAGTGGATCACACACAGGACGGGGCGACATGGAAAGACCGTCAACATGGAAAGACCGTCGACAATACGACGACACCACAGATGACTACCTCAACGAGAAGCACCACAGGGCCGAGGAGCAGCAGAGGGACCACCAGAAGCAGCACAGTGACGAGAAGCAGCAGAGGGAGCCTGCGGTACAGGTCAGCCATGAACTGCACGCTGGAGAGGGCAGCAATGCCACGTCTGTTGTCGGACATCTAGCACACGATGGCGGAGAAGGCAAGAGTCCTGTCGGACGTGCAGCACGTGACGACATGCATGGAAACAGGACGCTCGTGCAAAAACCTCTTCCGTGGACGGACTGAGGGCGCCGCCGGGAGACCGTTGCGGACATTCCTTGAGCGCGGGAGACCGGATGATGCCAGCCGAAAACAATGACGCCACCCGATGGAGGCGCACCGCCTACAGTAGCCGTCGGGGACCGTTGGGGGACTATGCAGATATTGGAGGGCGGGGATGCCCGTGCTAAGGTCGTTGGACCACATCTGGAGCACCCAAAACCCGAAACTCTCCGTTGACCCATGTCTTTGAATCACGGTTCGATAAGGAAATTTTGGCTGGGGCCGCAAGGACGCCACTGTGACAAGGAATTTTCCTTGTGGCTTTTTCACATTTCGTTTGCAATTTCGTCCCCAAGGACAGCTGGACTGAGCGCGCCCTTGTGGATTTCACGTCCCCAAGGAGTGTCTAAAACCGCCCTTTGGCACGAATCCAACCTCTCGCAGAACCAAATGACATTAAAAAGCAAATCCAGAACTTCAACTCAAACTGGCTTGGGGGTGCCCATGGAGGGAGGATAGGGAAGGTGGAATGGAAGGGAGATCCCTCAGAAGCCATAACACCAAGGGGGGTCCAACAAGAGGCGGGCGTCACAAGAGACTATCATCTACGCTTCAACGACTGGACCACAGTGGACTCGACAATCCCTCTCAAATCCCTGGAACATTTCCCTGATTTCTTCCCCCCCCCGTCCAACTGCTTAGTGGACAACACGTGGTATGGTTTGGACTTAGTCGGGAGCTAGGTGTGGTGTGGGATGAAGGACATCGTGATGAGAARAAGGRGGTTGGCACCCACAGGGKCTAGTTGGAGGAGGGAGGAATTAGCGAATAACAGCAATATCTGGCCCCGAGTTCCGGGTGAAGAGATCCCTCCCTTCCTCCCCCTTCCTCCCCTTGCTTTATTACCCAGACTACACCGACTGGGTAGCAGCTTGTTATGCCTTCCTGAAGTAGTATCAGAGCTTAATGGGACATCTGGCACCCCCCCGGGGGTGAAAAGATACGGGAAACAAGGGCTACACCACTATGATACACACACACCTGCTCAGTAAATCCCCTGGAGACAGGGCAATCACTGCTGGCAGGCCTCACACTCACTGTTCTCAGACATTCTCAGTTTCTGTCTAAGGGATGCTGGACCCGTTTTCCAGCAGGTGATGCTCCCCACCAATAGACGGAGCCTCCCCCTAGGTGTTAGTGGTGTCTGCTATCAGCAGCACTAACACCGACGGGGCTGTTTTTGTTTAAAAAAAATAAAAATAAAAATAAATCTTACTGTGTAAATCAGTGAGAGCCCACTTCCCACCTGCCAGCAGCACCAAAGTATTTTAGACTGAAGTTTGAGGGTTAGGGAACCAAAACGGCTGGCAGACTGGCGCCGCCAGCCAAAAAGAAACAGCCCGTTCATTTTTCTTTTTCTGGTGCTCAGAACAATTCAGGTTGGAGAAAACGGCCTAAAGCGTCATTCCAGTACAGTAACTGTTACACTGGATAGACGGTATATGGTTGATCCAGTGTGGCACTGTGTGGCAGCGGCACGACATGTTCATTACAAATTTTTGGGCAGAGAAAACAGGAATAGGCACAGATAAAACGAAAATATAGAGACCTATTACACATGCAACCAGAAAGCATCCAGCTGCCTAACTCAGTTGGATAGGCACACAAGTGGCATTCAGGAGGTTGTGGGTTTGAGCCCTAAAACTCCTCTTCTTTGGGTCTTTGTTCTTCCTGTCACTGTCTTTATCCCTCCTCGAGTTTTGGCCTCTTCCGTCTTTGTTCTTATCTCTTGTGCTTTTCTCTATTTGTGCGTGTCATCCTTGCGCAGGGGCCATGCTAATCTTCTCTGTATCATTCCAATTTTAACGGATGTCCCGAAGGACTATCTCTTGTGCTTTTCATATTTTGGCTACCTCACCTCCCCTGTTTCTCTTAGCTGTACATACTGCTTTTGAAGATAATGATTACTACTGCTGGCCTTTTTTGGGCTTCTGCCTGTTGTACGACTGCACGACTGCGGCCTTCTTGTTGTTGTCTCCTCTTACTACCCACTTCACGATTGTCTTCGAAGACTTCAATAGATTAGTTGAGAATGGAGGCATGTTTCCCCTGTCCCTAAGACCAGAGGTTGTCAATCGTTAAGAGCTAGGTAGCCTGTTCGGTACCTTGTTGCCTACGTGGCCCGGGCTTGCACCCGTTGCCATCTTTGTAAGGGATGCCAGGCCCGGTTCCTGGTTCTGGATAATAAATATTTGTTGCTGTAAAGAAAAAGAAGAAATAACGGCAGACACGACATATTTTGAAATCCTAAAGGCAAAAAAAAACTCGTGCCGGCAAAGAAACCAGATGCCAACTTGAAATGAGCGATTTCGGTCCAAAAGTATCCGTTGGGCTTTTGTTTTTTTTTTCCTCCTCTCTGACACCAGGGCCAACCCCTGTAAATATGACACCCGGTCCGACACCCTGGCCGTCGGTACTTCGGTCGCCCTTTTGAACATGGTGTTTTTCTTTGCCGACGCATGTTTTTTTTGTCCATTCGATACTCAAACGTGACATGAACATACTTACCTCAAAAAAAAAAAAAGAGAAAACTCTGGCGCAGTCAGGTCAGGGTTTGAGTTTGTAATTGCACTTGAGTCAAAAGGGCCGGTAATGCTGAATGTATATGACCTACGTTTCGGGTCCGGTGGGGTCGCGGGGGTGTGTTGTATTCGCGGGATTGCCTGAAGTGCAATTACAAACTGTTTTCGTGACTGCGCCGAAGTTACCCCAAAAAAAAAAGAGTGCTGCAGGTGATGTGGAGATTGAATCCTCAACGTCCTGAATGCCACTTACATGGTGGATTTTTTGTTTTCTCTCTTTTTTTGTGATTCAAAATGGGCGACCGCCTTGAGATATCATCACTGCAAGGGTCCCCTGTATAGCCTTAGGACTAGTGGTAGGTAGTGCGATGAAAAAGATATGTTCCATAACTGGCAGAAAGCCAATTAAAATATGACATTGTGAGGTGAGAGAAAAAATATATATATATAGCTTTTTTTTTTTTTTCAATGTCCGATGGCTCCGTTCTATTAGTGGGGAGCTGCACCTGCTGGAAACCAGGTCCAGCATCCCATTTAATGAGACTGATCACGAGCAGCCAGGGGCACCTGGCCTAACGGATCCCGGCGGACCCGAGAGCGCCAGATAAGGATATTAACCAGCTAGCTCCTACAGCTTACTGTGATCCCAAAAAATCTCTGCTTGTCAGACATGCTCTAAAAGGGAACCGCATTAGAAGAACAATAAGAACCCGGGGGGCAAATGGGGTCTCCTTTCCTGCAAACTCACGGCGGCCTTGGACCCATCAGCCAAGGTTCTATCCTGATGAGGAAAAGACAACTTTTGAAAAAAGATATCATCATTGGATCCAGCGGCCTAGCTCAGTTGGCACCAGCACTTGGCCCATACATCGGCCCCGGGCCTTACCCGTTAACGCGCTGCAACGTCGCAGGTCGGGGAAGGCCCGGAAGTGCGATGGAGAAGGAAGGTGTTGGGCCCAAGAAAAATCGAAAACGGACTGCTCGTTGTCCCCCTGGTTTATACCGTGCATGTGGAAACGCATGCGCAGACGCAGCATGGGCCAGAAAAGAAAAAGAAAACAAACCAAAAGGAGAGAAGTGCTGGGAGGAAAACAAAACACAAAGCTGTACCTGCCACTTGGCGGGCAAGAGAAGTCGGAAAACACCCTTCAGTGTTGCCAGAGCCCCGCGTATCACACCTGGCAAGTGGGCTCACAAGCTTATTAGTCACCTCAACCGTCATTTTTTTTTGTTTTCAGAGGATCTCTCTTATCCTTGTCTCCTTTGTGTGAAGAACACGTGGAATCCTATTCAGTTCATACTTTTTTTTTTTTTTTTTGGGAAAAAGTAAGGAATTCCATTATCAAAACAACAATGAGGCCAGGATAGAGGCCTTGCACAAGGGCCTTGCAAAAAAAAAACAAAAAAAAAAAAAACAATGAGGCCGGGAATCCCTCACAAACAACCCGGAACGACACATTACCACGCCTGGGACCATTACCCAGCATTGGTTGTGGGGCGCATTCCCCCTTCGTGACCTGAAGGTAGTTAAACAATCCTCTCATCTCCACGTTCACTACTCCCAACCCTCTAAAGACTCCGCAATCCTATCTACCATCCCCTAACCTCCCAATTCTGCATTCCCACCCCTGCCCGTCCTATTAACCCTACCGCCCTCAAACCTCCTATGCGGAGGCTGGACTCTAACTCGAGTCCTCTAAACCGTTTGACACTCTCCATCCCCAATTCCCTGCTGCCTCCTACTGCAGAATCCAACCAAGTGCCCTGGTTAATCTAGCTAGTCAACCAATCAGCAAACCTAAAACCCAGTCCACTGTTCTCCAAAGTAACCATTTTTCCACTCAGTGCCCATGTGTCTCTAAACCATTTCAGGCCTGTAGCCTGACCCCTTCCGGCTGAGGCCCTATTCCTCCAGTCTGCCAGGATGACTCTGCGAGTCATAGCTTTAAACCTGGCATTATCTTGTGCTCAAAAACTGTTCTGTTGCGCTCAGTCCAGATGACCCAGAAACCTATCGCTCTCAACACTTATGCCACGTAGCCCCACCCTCTCTGTAGCAACAGGTTTTCCAGGATGCCTCCCAGCAGTACCCACTCCCTGTTCCATTCAAGAGCATCCCCAGCGGATTCCTTCCAATATACTGCCAGCCATTTCCATATTCTGGATGAGGCTGGACAGTCCCACCAGATGTGGATGGTTGACTCAAACGTCCACAGGCACCCTTTACATTGAGTGTCCAAATCCAATCCTCTGGAAAGCAGCCAGACAGCTGATGGTGTTGCCAATAGTGATGCGAGCCACAGAATTGATGCCGTTCTTTTGTTTGGGGCTGAGGCCAGTTGAGCCCAGCATTTCTTCAGCGCCTCTGTTACTTTTTCTTGTTCAAAGTTGCCCACTCCTGCCCATCTGTTAGCCGCAACCGTCAGCGGGGTTCTTGCTGTAGACTGCACCTCATATCCCACCTTCAGGTCATAATCTGCAAAACTTAAATCCGTGCCTTGTTTTCCGCGCCCTCTCCATGCCCACTGCTTTGGATCTGCAGTGAGCTGAGCTACTGGAGTTCCTTCATTCCATAACACCACCTTCCATTCCCCATTGTCCGAGCAAACTTCTCTAACTCGAATTTCCGTGAGTGGTCCTACTGGGGTCGTCCCCTGGCTTAACTGGCTTGACTCCTCCTCCTTCTCCAGCCTCATGTCCTCTGTATTTATCTGTAATCTCCATGACTGGAAGACTCGGCCTCCCTCTGGCCTGAGTTCCACAAGCTTTAGGAACCTCCTCGCTTCAGCCGTCTTTTGTACTTCGTACCATGTTCCGGGAGGATTTACTCCTTCCGGGCTCAGCAACCAACTCCACTCTTCCGGAAGAGCATTGAGGATAGCCTGCAGCTTGTCCTCGACGCCCCAACATCCTGGCAGCTCGCTTCTCAGTTCTCTACCCGAAATCCACCTTCCTTCAATTTCCAGCCAAAGGTCTCTTAGCCGCACCACACCTTTCTCCACCCACGATCTACCGAAGCTGCCATGTGATGTGTCCGCCATAAACATTGTACCATCGGCCTTCCTCAACAGCGGATTCTCAAAGATTATTTGTGAGAGAACTTCCTGTTTCGTGGCCGGAGACGCCGTCAAATCCGGCTTGACTGCTTTCCAGGCTCGAAGAACCGCTGACCAGAACTCCGAAGACAGCCTTCGTCTTTAGAAGAGATGCGATATTACTTTCTACGCTTATGGAAGCACACAACTTAGTGGACGTTTACAGAACATTGAATCCGGAAACTCCGGGTTACACTTGGAGGGGTCCGTGGGCGTCCTCTCGAACTGCTCAACCCAAAAGAAGTCTAGATTACGTTCTGGCCAGGGATGCTCCTTGAGAACGAATTTCGAATACGGCCCTGGTAATATCCTACATATCAGACCACTACCCCGTTGTGATGGATGTTATTTCTCAAGAGGTAGTGGAGAGGCATATGCCTCTATTCAGACTTAATGTTAATATCTTAAAAGACCCAGGAATCCCACAATGGGTCAAATCTCAAATGAAGGACTGATCATTAGTCAGGGATCTGTTCGAGAACTACGAAGATTGAGTGGATGCAGGCACTGGTATTTTGCAGGAGGGAATGATTGAGTTTTCTAGAATGAAGGCTGCCGCCAGAAATTGGAAGGAAAAACAATTGATTCAAATAATAGAACAGGCAGATGTGTATGACGGGTCTGATCCTTTTCTTAAATACCAGTGGTCGACAACAATGACCACTGCACTGGCTGAATGGGAAGAACTGAAAATTAGCAAGCAGGAATAACTTCGAATAAAAGGTATATTGGGGCACGATAAGATGACAAAGGAGACCTTTCGCTCCCTTATCTTGCAAAAAGTCAGACCTGTGATGCGGGAGCTTGCCCACCCTTACGCCATCAATGAAACATTGGCAACAGATACAAAAACTTTATGTAGGTATGTAATGCTCTATTTCCAAGATATAGTGTCTACAAGGCGGCATTTTGATAACTTTCACTCAAATCTAGTGGACTTTCACCCCTTTTGGGACTGTAATTCAAAACAGATTTTCTCTCACCTGTGTGCTGACCTAGAGGATCCTATCACCTTGGAAGAGGTAACAAGGGCGGCCAAACAGATGGCCAAAGGCAAGTTCCCAGGACCTGATGGGGTGCCAATTGATTTTTTTCTCAGCATGCGATGCATTTGGTTTATATTTTTGTGATATTTTTAATATGGCCCGTACATTAGGGTCCTTGCCTCCGGGCTTGGTAAAATGAATGATTTCCTTAATGTATAAAAAAGGAGATAAGAAGGAAATTTGAAATTGGCGACCGATCTCGGTCTTGAATGTCTCCTATAAACTATTAGCAAATGTGTATGCCTTAAGACTGACCCCGGTGCTCCCTTCACTGGTAGGAAAGGAACAAGGTGCATTTGTTAAGGGGCGATCTTATCTTTGATAACATCTTAGCGACCATACAAGCATTGAAGATCATTAGCCATGAGAAAAGGAATGTGGCCATCCTCATGCTTGATATGGAAAAAGCGTATGATAAGGTCGGGCGGGCCTTCGTCAATACCACTCTCTTGCACATAGGGTTTGGGCCTCAATTTCGAAACTGGGTGAGGACGATGTACGCCAATGCTACAACCATTGTACTAGTGAATGAGAAACAATCGGAGCAATTTCATCTGTCCCTCTCACTAAGGCAGGGTTGTCTCTTGGCCCCGCTGATTTTCGTTATCCAATTAGAAATCATGTTGACTAATATTCGAACCAATCAAAGAATAGAAGGATTGTGCCTCTCCCCCGCCTTCCAATGGAAAGGAGGAGCGTTAGTGGAAGACTTGACTGTAGCCTGTAAGAACGTACCTGTTTGTATGTCTGAACTCAGAACTATTATTGATGATTATTGTGTGTTATCCGAAGCCTCTATTAACTGGGATAAGTCTATTTATTTTTTACACCCATCCCACTCCCTATGTGTTAACAAGGGCTTGTGGTTGGTACCAGCTAACACAGCGGACAAATTCTTGGGAGTTCAAGTTTCCTTGTCTGATTGCGCTGACATCTAAGATGGTATCTTGACAGACAAAGTCCTCGGGCGTATTGCTAGTTGGGAAAGGCGCAACTATTTATCACTATTCGGGAGGGAGTTGGTTCTCTCAGTATCTGCCTTGTGCTTGCTATGGTTCCCACTGTCAGTGCATCGGCTGGGCCAAAAGTCATATCGGAGAATTAAAAATGCATCAGGCAGGTATATATGGAAACCTGAAGCCACGACAGAACAGGGTTAAATTTCCAAGGTGGCATGAGAAGTGATACCCGCTCCAAGGCAGGAAGGGGGTCTGGGCGTGCTGGACCCTCTTCAACCGAATGACGCCCTCCTGTCCAAATGACCAGTGGAAGCTATGCTGGAAGCCGACCAGAAGATCTGGATGCCCTTCGCAGAATATATATGGGGAAGGGAGTGGGAGCTTCATGACCATTCCAAGGTCTGGTTGTGTTTGCTCCTGCCTTCCTTCTGCAGTCGTAAGTCTAAGTTGTGGGGAAATATCATCAGTGCGTGGAATAGGAATAAACCTACCAAATGCCAGCCCCCAACAATGAAGCAAGAGATCTTAAATATTATTTGATAATGAGAGGATTTTGCACACAAATGGATGTCCTTTTCCTACAGCAGATACTCGGGGAGGGTTTGGCAAGCATGGGTTAAAAAAGGTATCCTGCAGATCTAGGACATTGGGATCAGTCAAGGGATACCTTTTTGGACTTAGCACAGTTGCGCCAGAAACTCCCAAGGCTCCATAGAGTAGAGCAACACAGGGTGGATCTCCTGGCAGCCATTCCAAGTCCGTGGATACAACTCCTACATTCATCATCAGAGAACGCAGCTGATACATGGTTTCAATCAGATGCTCACCTATCCCAAATTTTTCGGGTCTTGGGTCCTGACCTGGTCTCGGGGATGAGGGTCCAGGTGTGGCGAGTACCAGTATCTGCCCAGGCGGGACGAGCAGGTAACCTCAAACTGGAGGCGGAGGACCTCAAGGTAGATATTACTGTTCAGTTGGAGGAGGTTCGTGTGCTCAGTCAAATAAATAGGCAGGGTAGGCAAGTGGCTACGTTGTTGGGTCCGGCTAACCACTATCGAATAGAACCTCTCCTTTCGGGCTGGAGTATTAGGGGTAATTTCACTCCGCTAGTCCACTATAGATTAAAGGTGGGTGTACAGGTGCAACAGGCTTGACTGGGGAAGTCGGCAACGACTCTGGCCCTGAAAAGGGTCGAGACCGAACAGCTAGCAGGGGTCACTAAACAAGGTGTACGGAGTCTGTGGAAGGGGCTGACTAAGATTCCTGTCCAGAAACATGCGGGTATTATGTGGCTCCAACCGCTCCTTGTTACTCCTACCGCCATGTGGTTATTGACGAAAGGAATGAACATCCTCATCCAGTGTATGCGCTGTAACTGGGGATGCAAAAACATGATTCACTTATGACTGTATTGCCCATTGATAGATGAGTTACTGATGTGGTGGAAACACCACTGGCACAGAATAGTGGGGGAGGGGTTTGATTGGTCTGATATATGGATGCTTACAGGAGCGCTTCCAACAGGCATGCATTACACGGGTGGCTGGGGCTATGTAACTCTTTGCTGTAGGGGTGTATTGATGGATGTAGTATGGTCCGCCATAAATGCGCGGGTTTTTCGTGGAGAAGACACCCCCCGGAGGCAGCAGCAACAGCAAATCAAGCAGCAGCTGTGAAGGATCATTAAGGCCGATTGGCAAAAGAAGAATGTGGGGTGGTTCCAGAAAACGTGGTCTAAAGACAAACGGTTGGTGTCCATCTCTGCGGAAGGCAAAATGTCTTTGTGTTCTTGGCTTTTTGATACGCATGATTAACACTGTTCCCTGGTCGGTTTTCAGACCAGGGGGGCCGTTTTAGACCCCTCGATATAGGGGTAGCAGGCAAGGCTTAAGGGCTGATAGGTAATATCATGAGGTCTGCCCATGATTGGGATACCCTTGAGGGGTAATTGAGAGTCCCTTATTGGGTATATTGAGTAAAAATTTATAGTAAGAAAGGGATCTCACCTTTTTACTGAGCTTCAAGTTAAACTTTCGGAAGGTCTCAGGTGATAGGGAATGGATGGGACACTGGACCCGGTTTCCAGCTTGAGCCTATGCTGGGTAAAGGCCCCAGCACCCCCTCCGGGTTGTGTTATGAGGGTTCGCGGCCTCATCCTTTATTTTTAAATTGCAATGTGATTTCTTCCAAAAAAAAACAAAAAACAAAAAAAGAACAAAAAAAAAAAAGACACAAAGAAGTTATGTGGTGACTCTGGTGAGTATGAACTGAATGGGATCGGGACGGAGGGGCCCTGGCAGCGACTGGCGCTATCGCGCTCGGCCGCTGTGTTACCGGGTTCGGCGAAACCCGCGCCGTCAACCTGGGAGTTACCAACGTAGATAGCTCCCCGAGAAACTGCTCCATTGCCTCCATTGAGGGGCGGATATGGTGGAATCCTCCAACCATAGGCTGCAAGTGTAGACAGGGGTGAAATCCCCCCTCTCTCTGATACTGAAGTGTGGCAGAAGCGTGCAAGGAAAGGCAAGGCAGAATTAGAGGAAGACGTCGATGCGTAGGGAGTGGTGTAGGACGTGGTATATGGATAGGGAAGAGATTCAGGGCTAAGAACGACACAAAAGAAGATGATGGAGATGACGGTTGCACAGGGAACCGGGAGGTCCCCACCCCCGGGACCCAGCGAGGCGAAGAACTACTGGGAAGACGAGGATAGAATTAGGGAGCTGCTAGCACTTTGCTATGACGACGGAATTTACCCCATGGAAATTGATGCGGGGGAGATGGTGGTGGAAGGAAGAGAGGTGCGTTTCAAAATAAACGCCTCCCTCGACGAGATTAAAGTCAGATGGTTAAAGGAGACAACGGTATCAGTTATATACAAGGACGCAGCGCGTTTTCTGCCCAAGAACATCAAGGATGACTTGATTTGAGCATTTGAAGATGGATGGGTGCTAGGAAACGAGCAGTTCGTGGAGAACCAGAGACGAGGAAGGGTGAAGATTGAAGGCCCGAGCATCGCATCGTACGTAGCAAAGTCAACACAAGTGGCGCAATACATGATTAACGAAGGCTCGTTGGAAATTACCCTGGGGGGGGGAAACATACAAGGTCCTGTTTAAGCCATGGATGACCAAGGCGGAGTTCAGAGAAATGAGACGCCAAGAAGATGAGAGAACGTTTTGGGTCACAGCGGTTCAAGTGCCACTCGACGGTATGCCATACATCTACGCTCAGATCGAGAAGGCGATAGGGCCAATCATGCAAGCCCACCCAGCGGATGTAGACCCAAACAGGCAAGCGCTGGTCAACGCCCATTTTGACATCGATCCAGCCTACCGTTACAATATGAAGGACAAGATATGGGTGGAAACACCGACCGACGATGAGCTGGAAATATGTTTGGCGACTGCAGGTACGACAAGATGCCGAAAGTGCAAACAATTTTTCCACTCCGAAGATGAGTGTAGGCAAGGCCGACGCAACCGCGCTCCAAGAGGAGGGCAAGCACAAGGAGCTTCGACGACTAGGCAACAGAACTCTGCAGAATCGAGAGGAGCAGAATCAAGGCAATGGTATGATGGACCGTTGAGACCAAGACCGGCGACACCGGCCGGGTCAGGAGCGGTGAACCAACCTGCATCCTTGCATCATAACCCAATCTTCTCCCTTGAGGGAAGAGGAGGTTGTTTCCTGGGACAGGCATCTGCGATAGCGGTTCATGCAATCCCGACTCAAGAAGGAGGAAGCCATGATGACGGAGGGCGAAGAGGGCTTTAGGCGCAGGACATAGACATGCTCAGGAATTATTACTGGGCAAGAGACGCGATGTTCGTGATGGCAAACAACCTCCAACAAGGGGCCGGAGGCAGAGGCCCAACTTCGACACAGGTAGAAGGTAATATGGCACGACCGCAAGCAAGGTACCAGAATTCGGAAGCAATCGGAGGTGCGGCATGTCGTGGAGGTGGAGTTGCTCAGAGAGAGGTAGGAGGAGCAAGAGGAGCAGGAGGAGGGCGACCACCAGCGGGAGGAATTCCAGCAGGAGGTATGAACTCGCCCTTAAGGCCGCAAGGGTCGGCAAGTGGCACGGGTCACTTGAGAGAAGGAAATGGTACCCCAAGATCAAAGGGGCGAGGGGTAGGCAAACAACGCCGACTGAGCTTTACTGGTCAAGATTTAGTTCATGAGAACTCACAAGAGTCGCAAGGAGGCTCGGAGCACTCCGTCAGCCAGGAGGTCGGGATGGCAACACCAGGCAGTAAAACGACAAGGGACAGGAAGCTTGCGGTCGCCGCTCGAGGCGGCAGCATAGATATGTTGCAATATTTAATCCCACTAATGTGCGTGGCAATAAGGAACAGTCTGTGGGTAATTACATGGCAGCGTGTTGATGGTGTCCAACTCCTCTTTGGGCATCAGGTGACGGAGATGCCGACGGAGGAATCGATGCAGGAAGTCATTCGTAGACTGTACCTTAACCAATTTCCATCAAGGATCCTGGACATTCCGATGGCAAGGATCATCTTCGGACCAGTAGGTAACAAGTTGAAGTTGTTTGTGCCAATAGTTGATGCAAGATTGACTGAAAACAAACTGATGGAGCTGGAGGCTGCAGGGCTTCGCCTAGTACCCCTATATGTCTTCGCTGAAGCCAGAAAGCAGGAACAAGCCAAGATTGGGGTTATGCCAACAATGATCACGACGGACAGCCTGAGCGATCTCAAGATCAGGTTACCAAAGGAAAGGAAACTTGTCTCCACCTATGTAAGGAATGCTCTAACGCAACCCTGGCCACAGGTAGGAATATCGGCGACCTAGATCTAAGCACAGCAGGGGACAAACCGAGTCGATGATTAAAGTGAGAATGGCATCCTGGAACCTGCAGGGTTTCGGGAACACGGGGGGAAGAAGGAAGAGGACGAGAGTGAAGTCCTGGCTCCACGAGCAGCGAATCGCAGTGGCCTGTCTGCAAGAGACGAAATTAAATGCGGAAAAGATTAGGGAGGTGAAGTTTTGGTGGGTTGACCCTCAGATCTGGGCAGCCTCGCAGGGCACACAGGGAGGAGTAGCGATCCTCGTCCGCAGGTACCTGGAAGCGGAAATCGTAGATAATTACGCGGATGTTGGAGGGCGGTGGGCTTGGATTGTTCTTTGGATCGAAGGGATGGCATGGGCTTTTGTTTCGATCTACGTGCCAGTAGAGAGGCACTTACGAACTAGGTTTTTTGAGGAACTGCGTGTCGTTTTGCCCAATGTAGATAACTTAATCGTGGCGGGCAATTGGAACACGTCGCTGGATTCACTTCCAATCCAAACGGGCGGTTGCTCGAGGGACGTTTTGGAATTGGTTGACCTTATGGCGGACTATGACTTGAGGGACTCATACCAGGACATCCATCCGGAGGAACAGGGCTACACGTGGTTCTCACTGCAAGGAAGAGGGAGGAGACTGGACTTCATGTTGACAGCTGGCCTCGCTCACGATGCTATTACAGAGATAAGCCAACACAATAACCCCGGAAGACTCTCGGATCACAAGTCCATTGTAGCCTGCTTTCAGATTGGCCCGGACGTTCAAAGGGGGAAAGGCTTCTTTCGTCTGAACGTACAAAATCTGCAGGAAGGGTCTCTTAATGAATGGATACAAAATTTTTGGAGGAAACGGAGAGATCAGAAGGACTCGTTCGCTACAACAACGGACTGGTGGGAAGGGGGGACACGAATACTGTCAAATCTGCTCAACGTCTTCTCGAAGATCCTTGCGCTCCAACGGAATAAGGCAGAAAGAAAGTGCTTGAAGAGAGTGGAGGAGGCAGAACTGCGAATGAGGGAGCACCCGATTGCAGAACAGGTATGGAGCAAGGAAAGAACAAGAAGACTAATCGAATGGGAGAAACTGCAGCAAGATAAAGCGGAGCAGTGGGCAGAGAGGTTGAAGGTCAGACGCATAGAAGTCCACTATAAGATAACGAAGGAAACGTTTCAGAAACTCGTGCCCTCCAAAACTGCTCATTCCATGAAGGAGCTTAAGCACCCCTTTGATCCAGAAGAACCAGTGGCGGTGGAACCGAGGACGTTACATATATGCAGCCAAGTACTTTAAAGAGATCCTTACGTCAAGGCGACCGGAAGAAGGAGCGCATTCAAATCTGGTAGCCGATTCAGATCACCGGAAGAACACAAAGTGTCAACTGCCTACACACGCAAGACTATACTTGGACAGACCAATAGGAGAAGAAGAAGCCAGACAAGCACTCAAGGCAATGGCAAAAGGGAAGACGCCGGGAAATGATGGGCTTCCGACATAATTCTACTGTAAACACTGGGACTCGGTGGGCGGTGATCTGGTGGAAATCTACAACGAAATATAGCTAGGCGGGAAGCTCCCGACAAGTGCGTCCAAAGGCATCATTTCAATCCTGTACAAGAAAGGAGACAAGAATGAAATCAGAAACTGGCGGCGTATTTCACTTTTGAATGTTTCCTACAAAATCTTGGCTAAACTTTTGGCAAGGAGATTAGGCAAATACATGCCTTTATTAGTACAAGACGACCAAGCTGCATTCGTGAGAGGCCGTTCGATCTTCGAGAATATAGTGACAGCGATAGAGGTTCTGGAGGTGGTGGGGCAGGAGGAACAGGACATAATGGTTCTGCTGCTGGATATGGAAAAAGCATATGACCGTGTAAACTGGTCGTATGTCTTGACTACATTAAGGTGGATGGGGTTCGGCGAAGTTTTTTGCACCTGGGTAATTGCGCTGTATTCATATTCAATGGCCTCGGTAATGGTGAACGGCCATATATCAACTCCTTTCACACTCTCCCGCGCGCTGAGACAAGGGTGTCCCTTGGCGCCGCTGCTGTTCGTGGTACACCTGTAAGTGCCTTTGAACAACATCAGGGAACACTCGTTGATCTGTGGCCTGCAACTTGGGGAAACTGCATGCAAGGTCAAGGCAATCGCGGATGACCTCTTCGCAGTCTCAGTCAATTCCAAGGATTCCATGGGAGCACTCAGGCATTGCTTAAGGCAATACGAATTGTTGTCAGAAGCGGCGATTAATTGGCAGAAATTTGTCTTCTTCTTACCAGAGAAATTCACACCTGCAGTGGACTGGGGAATGAGGAGAATCAAGGGCACGGATACAGAGCGGTTTCTGGGAGTCCAAGTCTCACTGACACCGAGTGGGAAACACCAGGATCAACTGCTGCAACAAAAGATAATGCAACGAGCCTCGGTCTGGGGAAAAGCCCCCCACCTCTCGCTATTTGGCAGAGCTCTGGTGGTGAACGCAGCTCTGTTCTCTCTGTTATGGTACGTGGGCAACATGCGGCCGCTGGGAAAGAAAACTCAGACGGTCATCAGGCGACGCACTTCCCGGTTCCTGTGGCGGCCTTTCGCAAAGGAGGAAGAAGTCGTGATGCCAAAGGTGGCCTGGGACAGCTCTGTTCCTGTCTCTTATACACATCTAGATGTGTATAAGAGACAGGGGAAAGAAAACTCAGACGGTCATCAGGGGACGCACTTCCCAGTTCCTGTGGCGGCCTTTCGCAAAGGAGGAAGAAGTCGTGATGCCAAAGGTGGCCTGGGACTTAATCTGTAATCCAGAAGAGGAAGGAGGGTTGGGTCTGGTGGACTCGGAGAAGAGGATAATGGCAATGTTGGCACGGTGGGTTGTAAGAGCAGCCTGCTCACAAGGCAACAAGGACTGGATCTCCCTGGGGGAACGGATACTGAAAAAGGAATGGTCCCTAACACGGGGTAAGAATGTATGGGCTTGTGTGTGGATTGACAATCGGAGCTACAACAGGGGAATCAGGATCCGGGTTGAGTACACTGTTCCAATCACCCACGAGTACCAAATTATCAGTGTCTGGGATAAACTTAGGAAGATCAACAAAAAAACCAATCCTCGTAGTATAGTCTACCGACCGTAAATCGACATAACAGACCAATCTTCTCTTGCCATGGCGAATTTCACCCAGGCTCAGCGTCCTTCTGGGTCCGTGCAACTGTCTATTATCATATTATTATGTCAATTTTTAATTTTCTATCCAATTGGATGGGCACTCCTCCTCGGGACCCCATTGTTGGAGCCCTGATTTGGGGGCCTGGCCACCATCTGCAGATCTCCTCAAGTTTACCCGGGCCGATTTTGGTCTGCTGAAGACAGACAATATGGGCATGGTATGAACGCATCCAATTAGACAATCTAGCTCTTTTATGAGTGTCATTGAGGTCACATAAAACGCAAATGTTCCAACGGATGAGTCTGATTTTACTGGGTAGAGTCATTATCAAAGGCTGTTCCGCTAGGAGGTTGGATGCGGTCGACATTTGCCTCGTCTGTCCTTCGCTTGCCTGCCTTTGCAGCCAACCGTTCACCAATTTCAAAGTTCAGGTTTTTCTTGGTCCTCCTTTTCAGGAGGGAGGAGGCAAATGACTCAAATGAGATCAAGGGGGCATTATCTGATTGGGTTATCCACTCGGCCACTGCTCGAGCAGACAACCCAGATAACAATTTTATCCCTGCCAGAGTGTCTGACTGTACCGTCATGAGGTGGGCCAGTTATATGTAATAGATCCGTAGGTCATCCCATTTATATTTATTATAAGTCATATGCGCCATATCCATAAAGGCAATCAAAAGACGGGCCATGCCCCCTTCTGGTAGATCTACCGAATGGCGTGCCATTTTCGGTTCCGGTAGCAAATGCGCTTCTCCCAGGTTCTGTAAGGTCTGTATCTTTACCAGATTACAAACCATTAAACGACCATTTCGTAAAAATGGACATTTTTTATTTTTTGAACAAAATTGAAACCGAGTTTTTTTACCAAAAACTCGTCAAAATTTGTTGTTCCTGAGGGTCCAACGTTTTACAAACGCTGGAACCCCTGGTTGTACATGGACCTAGCTTGAGACCAGACACCTTTAGGTAGGACTGCCTGAAGGTACCTGGTCTCAAGCTAGGTCCATGTACGGCCAGGGGGTCCAGAGTTTGTAAAACGTTGGACCCTCAGGAACAACAATTTTTGACGAGTTTTCTGCCAAAAAACTCGTTTTCAATTTCGTTCAAAAAATAAAAGATGTGACAGTCCGTTTTGACGAAATGACGGTTATTACTAGGGAGGGCGTGCCCCGTAATAGGATGGCTGAGAGAGACAAGGTTCCATCCTTGCCCTTCAAGGAGAGGGACCACAGGGTCTGTCCGTCATGCGAACATATAATTGGGATCAGATAATCTGAAATATGCCCCATGGTCTTTTCTGTCCTCGTTAAGGTCCTCATAGGTGCTGCCAAGGATAGCAAGCGTCGAGCGGTTTTGGTCATCTGAGCTCTTCCTCTTTTCATAGGAGAGCTCCTGACTACATCTTCCGTGCAAGCCCCGCCCTCCTCCTCTTCCTTTCTAGCTTGAAATTTTAAACCTTCGGTGCGGGTTATCTTCGGAGAGGACAGATTCACTGAAATATTCAGATGATCTTTTTTTGTCCCTTCAGGTAGTGGAGTAGAGGGGGACTGCCAAACAAACGGATTACCTGCCCATGCAGTTTCCTTCATCCACTTTTTACCACTCTTCCAAATATCTTCAGTTGATTTCTCCGACTTCTTAGAGGCCCCTGTCGGAAAGTAGAAGGCTGGAGAGCCTTCCTTCCCCCCTTCCGAAAATCACATGAACTAGACGAGGGACTATGACTTCCTACTGGTACAAGGACTGTATTATCGTTAATAACCAGAGGATTAAATTTTAATCCTTGGGCCTTTGTCAAATCCCCCTCTGATGGTTCCCCGTTGAACAACTTATTATTATAAATCGAGCACTCTTTTGGCATATCCTCGGTTAGGGAAGTGAGAGTTATGG